GCTATGCAGGCTAGTGATTGGCTAGAATAATTAGTTTTGTTTACGGCTGACTGAACATAATTCACATTATTTTAGTACTAGTCACAAGGTCTTCATTGTATCGATGGAATTAATATTATTCCTGGACCACAAACCGTACAATCCTATGACTACATAACATATTTTTCCATTATTCTAACCAGTATAAAATCTAACTGTTAAGGGCTTTTAAAATTTAATTTAGTGGATCAACTATTTTATTTATACTCTTCCCATCTCTGGTATTTTAAGGATTGAATCCCATAACAGACCATTTTAAAGTTGTGGGCTTAGTATCCTAGCTTTTGAGTGAACGTGAGGCCGAGGTTGACCTCGTTTTGATACAAACCTCTTTCCTTTTGTTATGGAAATTAGAGCGGTTTTCATTTGAGTGTCGAAAAGTAATTGGTTTTGCACTTTCTACACGATGCGATTGGCTTAAAAGATTCGCGCCACCTTTTCATCCAATCAGAAGTAAAACCAAAGCCAATTGTGACGCGCTCGCATGCATTTTCCCGCGCTTTGCGTCAGCCACATGTAATTACTTCGAGTTTTGATTGGTTCAATGTATTGTCTGTGTCCTATGTGATTGGCCAGAGTAATTACTTTGGTTTTGGTTTTACGACACTCAAACGAAAACCACTCTATGCTTGAAAATACTATTTAGCAATTTATTTAGCATTAGAAAAACATGATTCACATAATAAAGCAGGAAGGGTTGTACCAAAACAAGGTCAACTCCAGCCTCACTTCCACCTGTAACTGTAAAATGGGCTAATTTGGCACAAGAAAGGCCTTTTTACTCCCGCTGCATTTTTATCAACCGTGTCTGTGTTTACTGCTGTAGGGGATGGAGGAGATGAAAAAAATTAACCAATAATCAGGTATTGTTTCCAGCCACCTTTCTTGCATCATGTTTATTTAAAACTTGCACCAGCCCAGAAAGGTCAATAATGGTTTCTTCCTCACAAAAAAATATCCACCGTTTGTTGTCTCCATAATCCTCAGCCAACCTGTTATATAATTGAAATAATATTAGTAACAAAAGCAACAAAATCACTTTTCATAAATATAATGACAATACAGGGGTGCCAGCTTACTAGAGCAGTGACCTTATTCAAATGAGGTGCTCACATACTATAAACATAAACATACCATACACTCCTTTTCCAGCACAATGAATTCACACCATTTTTGATGACAGACAGATTGTTACTATGCCCACAATAAAATTAATGACGGTAATTTTTTAAGGTAATCGGAGACCTATGTTATGTGCACAGGATTCTGGGATTGCCAAGGGGCAAACACTGAAAGTCGGTGATTTCAACACTCCAACATAAGTCACCTCCACCTCTCACAACATAATGAGGAAAGTGTGTTAGTCTATACCTAAAGACACTGCTTTTGACAGAGAAACTACTTTGCACATTCTACAGACTTGCAGTGTTTGCCCCCCAGTGGTTCCAGAATCCTGTGTGCATAACATAGGTCTCCGACTACGGGAATATCATTCCTTGACCTTACCTGTTTAAGATTGGAATAATCGTCCATGCTCCAAGAGGAGCCCAGTCTTCATGCATCATCTTTAGTTCTAAATTATCCTAACAAAAGTGACCACAAAAAGCCATCAACCTGACATCCCCTACTGCTTACACATTACCAGCCTTAAGATAATGGGCGCCATTGATTACTTGACAGGGATTTTTTTGGGCAAATTACAGGAAAAGGTACCCCTTTCATATACCTTTAGTGGTACGTCCTTCACATACCTTGCATTCCTGTAAATGCGCTGTCTTTCAAATATGAATAAATCACAAACCAGAACTTTTTCTCAACTTTTTCTCACCCATAAATACGTCTGTTAGCCCTTTGGGCCTCTTTACAGACTAAGATGACAGATTTCCCCACCCTTAGAATATATACTTCAACTAGCGAAATCCCTGCCCTAAAGCCTGACAGAGGTAGCGCTTTTGGGTGGAGCCTCATCGTTTTGGCCATTATAGGGAGTACTAGTCCCCTCCTGGGTCTGCAGGCCAGCACTCTACTGGCTGAGCTACATTGTCATACCTTTTCTCCCATTGCTTCTACCTGTTGAGTCAGGTCATCCCTCATTGCTTTTGCTTTTTTGACATGATATCCATTGTGTTGGCCTCTCACAATAACAACAATGTCTTTCAAGGCTGTAGAAAACATAGGACGGAAATAACAAAACAAAGAGATGCAGAAAAAGATAAATCCTTGCTCAATGATTTCTGTCTTAGATTCCATTAAGGCTGGACATATTATCAGAGTAGAATAGAGGAATAAGCGCAGCTGGGTATTTACCTACTGAAGGGACATCTGTCTCATTTCCTACTTTGGAATCCTGAAAAAAATTATAAGTTAGTATGAAACTGCATACTGTGCATTTTTAGGATCAGAGCACATAATTTTATGACTTTTTATAAGCAGATTAGAAGAGGGCCTGTTAGGGTAAAATTCTGATAAGCTACATGGCCTTGAAATAGCAACATAAGTCCAGATGAAATGGCAACAGATGATGCAAAGATGAGTTGAAACTACGACAGCAACAGACAAAAGCGCAAATAGTAAAATACCAACAGCGACATGGCTTCCCCCTCAATACGCGAAACAACAGGTTTTAAAATTCAGTCTAGAGACATAAGTAACCCCCCCCCCCCCCCAAAAGGGCCCAATTGGGTTAAAATAGGGGAGGGGAAAAAAAGAAAAGGAAAGGGCCACACCTTATTTTTTTGTGTGGTTTTAAAACCAAAACAATTTCCTAAACATTTTTACACCAGTGTCTTTTTTAATT